CACCATTGCTTTTGGACTTTGGTCTCCAGTTCCTTCATTCCATATACATCCCAGAGTCATATATTTTATATTGAATCTGTTCCTCTAGAGAAGCCTAATTAGTATGAGAAGTAAATCCTTATTGATAATAATCTGGGATGGAAATGGACTAAATTCCCCTATTAAAAGATGTGGACCAGGGCCGGGGATTTGGCTCAGTGGTTCCGCCACCTCCAGCCTCACAAGCACAAGGACCCAAGTTCGATCCCTGGTAACCCCCCCCCAAAAAAGAAAAAAGATATGGACTGGTTGAATAGATACAAAAACAAGACTCAGTGACATATGCTGCCTACAAGAAATTCACTTCACTAACACACAGAGACTGCAAGCCAAAAGATGGAAAAAGATATTCCATAAGTGAGTAGGACTAGCTGTTCTTCTATCACACAAAATAGATTTAAGGACAAAAACTATAAAAAGTGAACAAAATCACTATATAATGATCAAAGGGTGAATTCAACAAGAAGACATAGCAGTTTTAATGTATATGCAACTAATGGTGGAGCACACAATTTTGTAAAACAAAGATTATTAGATCTAATATAATAGATCTAATAATATAAAGAGGCTCTATTGTAATAATGGGAGATTTTTACCATTCCATTTTTATCAATAGATCATCCACCCCCCCAAAAAATCAACAAAGAAACACGAATTAAACTATTGTGTTAGTTACTATTTTTCCTCATTGCTGATATAAATTACCCAACACCCAAAGTTGGAAGGGAAGAGGTTTATTTGGCTTACAGTTCATAGAATTTTCAGTCCATAATCAGCCAACTCCAAAGGAGACATGGCAAACAGGCACGGCAGAGCAGAAACAACATGGTGGGCACGCAATGTAGCAAAGATAACCGGAGACTTAACAGTGTCTCCTGCCCCTCTTATTCAGACTACTTAGGGCTGGTATTACGCACACCCTTAATCCTAGTGCCCTTGAGTCTAGCATTGCGTCATGAATCAATTCCAGCTTCACACACTCTAGATCAAACCTATAACCTCCTGAGGCTTTGGAGGGACATCCAGACCCAAACCATAGCCGCTATGCTATAGATTGAATGGGCCTAGCAGACATTTAAAGAACATTTCATCCAACCACTGAAGAATATACATTCTTTTTATCAGCACATGACATATTCTCTAGAATGGACCTTATGTTAGTCCACAAAAGGAGTCTCAACTAATTTTAAAAGGCGAAAGATTTATATGACCTGAAGAGAAACCAGAGTATTTCAACTAATTTTAAAAAAATCAAAATCATATGTATTTTTTTCTAACCACAATGGGATAAAATTGAAATAGGCAACAAAAGAAACTTCAGAAAGTATGAAAATTCATGGAGACTTAACAACATGCTGCTGAATGAACAATGGGTTGTTGAAGAAATCAAAGAGGAAATTTTAAAATGTCTTGAAGCAAATGGTAATAGTACTAAGAAGGAAGTTTATATTAATAAGTAACTGCATTTTTAAAAATGGAAAGGTTTCAAATAAACAATCCACTGCATTTCAAGGACTTTTAAAGGGAAACGCAAACTGAAATTTACTGAAAAGTTAGAGATGACAAAGATCAGAGCCGAAATAAATGTAACAGCCCAAACAGCAATACAAAAGGTCAATGAAATGAAAAGTTGGCTCTCTGAAAGGACAGATATCAACAAACCTTTAACTAATCTATGATAAAAGATATTTTTAAAAAATTAGAGATGAAGAAGGAGACATTAGAATTGATAGGACAGAAATAGGATAATTAGAAAACCTTATGAACAACTATACACACAATTTGAAAATCCTAAAAAATCAGATAAATTTCTAGACACATATAAATTACCAAAATTAAACCATGAAGACTAGGACTTTTCTTAATTGGGAACCTTTTTATTACTAATTAAATCTCATTACCAGTTATCGGTCTGTTTAGATATGGCTTTGCCATTCAATTCAATTGATCTTTTAAAGAAGAATTAATATTAGTATTTCTCAAACTATTCCAAATCCTTAACTGGAGAGAATTCTTCCAAACTCATTCTGGGAGGCCCACTATTACTGAAACCAGAAAGAGTATAGTTTAGTATCTCTTGTGAACATAAATGAAAAATTCTCAACTAAATACTAAGAATCTGGGGCCAGAGATGTAGCTTAGTAGCACTGTACCTGACTGGCAAGCACAAGGCCCTGAGTTTGATTCTTGGTTAAAAAAAAAAAATACTAGCAATCTAAATCCAACAGTGTATCACAATCAAGTAGAATTTATCCCAGAGATACAAGGATGGTTCAACATACTCAAGTCAATAAATGTAACACATTGCATCAACAAAATGAAGGACAAAAATCATATCTCAATATAGTATATATAAAAACATTTAATAAAATTCAATATCCTTTTAAGATAGGAATCCTTAAACAAAATAGGTATAAAAGGAATAAACCTCAACATAAAAACTATACATAAGAAACTCACAACCAACATCGTTATGAATCGGGAAGGCTGAAAGTTTTTCTCTAAGGTCTGGAAAAGAAAAGGATGCTGTCTCTCCTCATTTGCTTTCAGTACAATCTGGAACTCTGAACTGGAGAAGTAAACAACATAAAGAAGTAAAAAGCATACAGATATGAAGAAAGGAAGTCAACTTATCCCTGTTTACAGAAGCTACCATTCTGTCTCTATAAAACCCAAAGATTCCACCAAAAGATTATTAGGATAATAAACCAATACAGTAAAATTTCAGGAAACAAAATCAACATATAAAAATCAGAGCATTTGTATGTTTATAATGAGATTGCTGAAAAAGAAATCATGAAAGGAATTTCATTTATAACCTCGAAATAAATTTAACCAAGGATGTGAACAACTTCTACAATGGAAATTACAAATACTGATGAAAGAAATTGAAGAAGACATACACAGAAATGAAAGGATCTCCACTGTTTGTGGATTCAAAGAAATATTGTTAAAATGTCCATGCTACACAGAGAAATCTACAGATTCTATGTAATACCCATCAAAATATCAATAACATCCTTCACAGAACTAGGAAAAAAATTCTAGAAGTCATTCATATCGAAGCACAAAAGACCTAACTAGCCAAACTAATCTTCAGCAAAAACCAGCAAAGCTGAAGGTGTGTCCCACAACCTGACTTCAAAATATACCACAAAATTATAGTAATCAAAAAAACATAGCATTGACATAAAAACAGATACATAGACAAAAATAACAGAAGAGAGTGCCCCGTGCATTTACTGGTCAATTGTTTCTTGACAAAGGTGCCAAAAATATGCACTGTAGAAAAGAGAGCCTCTTCAACAAATGATACTGGGAAACCTGGGTACTCAGGTGCAGAAAATTCTAAGTTGACTCCTATCAACCTATATAGAAATGAACTCAAAACAGATCAAAGATTTAAGTGTAAGACGTGAAACTATTAGGAGAAAACATAGAAGAGATACTTCAAGACACCTGTATAGGCAGTGCTTTTTCTGGCTAAGACCCCCAATACACAGGAAATTACACCAAGAATTGATGAATGGTATCATATCAAGCTAAGAAGCTTCTGAACAGCAATGGAAACAGACAGCAGAACAAAGAGCCTACAGAAGGAGAGAAAACTTTTGTAAACTATTCATTTGATAGGGAGTTAAAAGCCAGAATATGTCAGGTACTTTTAAAGCCTCAATAACAATAGCATGTACTTTTTCTCAGAAACAAAAATGTGATCTTTGGCAACTCTGTTTTGATGTATCTGCTTTAGCCCACTTAATTCATATAACGCTATCAGCTAGATTTAGGAGCTTTGGAACAGGGATTGTGCTACTCAAAAGGAGGTGGAGAGTTTTCTACATCTTTCCTTGACTCTAAGCCAATTTTAGATATTTTTTAAAAAAGTGAAGTCTTATGTTCTGTTATATTCTCTCTCCCTTTTATGCATCTAGAAACCTCTGTAAGGATCTCAATAAAGATTTTGCTATCCCACTGACCCCAGATTCTCCTTGTTACCCATTCACCTTCCTCCCTTTCTCCCACCCTTCCCACAGCTAATAAATTAGGAGAACAATCTGACTTAATATAATAGGCGATGGCATTTGTATAGATTTGATATTCAGGGTTTTGCTATTTTCAGCACCTCTAGAGGTCCTTGAAGCATTGTAATTTGCAGTTTTATTGTGTCATAAATTTAATTCCCAAGTCACTTGGTACAAGTCACTCAGTGAGTAAAACCAACTGAACACCCACACCCACGTCTTTGTGATTACATTTAATAGTCACAAGTACAGTCATTTCTGAGAAATATTGAAAAGCAATGGTTCTTAGTGAAGCCACATTTTCCCAAAGAAAATCAACATCCAGTGCTGGAAACAAATTTGAAAAGTGCTGATTCACATTGATTCTAGTTTATATGAAGGGCACACTTGAAAATTTCAAGTGTGCTTTAAAGTGGCTCATTTAGTCACAGATTTATTTAAAAAGGTCCTAAGTAGGAAGTCTGGGAGCTGCAAACACAAAAAGAGAGATGTAACCTCTGTCATTATGAAGCTGAAAGTTCGTCAGGAAGGTCAGACATTAAGCAAGTAAATACAATAAAATGTTTGTGAGTCTCCAAGAGAGGAGGCCTGAGGACAGAAGGCAGAGCTCTGAATACCAAACAGCATTCCAAGAGCCAGTCATTGCTGTGAGAAAGTAAGGGGAACCCCGAGACCTAAAGAGTATGTGGGGTGATCTAAACAGGGTTTGAAGGCCTACTAATCTCGAGGTATTTAATCTCAAAATGTAATAACCAGAGAAGAAAAAAGACGTTATGACATGATGGCAGACTGATCCCCTGTTGTTGTTTTTTTTAATATCACATAAGGATGTACGGATGATTATTGTCAAATACACCTCAAGTTTGCTAAGTTTGTATATTACTTATTTAAATCAGAATGTTGTCATGGCCATTGTTCTAAATGACCTTTCCTCCGTAGGTACAACCAAGAACTATGACAACCCCAGATGATCTGAAACTGTCCTTTAAGAATTTTATGGATCACAGGTAAGCCAAAGGAACAGGACTTTAGCTCTAGCTATATTTGCTTGGGGACACAAGGTCATAGATTAAGAAGAGTAAGTAGGATGTTTAAGGAGTGGACTTCTTGACAGGATTGATTTGCTCATTAAATAAGAGTCAGACTAAATAGAACTGTTTTTCTTTTTCATTGAAACTACTGTAGAAAGTAAAATCTTTCCATCTTTTAAAAAACAGCATAAAGAATAAGACAGGAGATTTTGAAAACTTGAATGGAACTAAATAAAAATTCTCTCTGTGTAAATGACACATACAATTCACAAGATACAGGAAATTATGTATCATCTGTCCTGAATCCAAGTCATACTCTGCTACACTTTAATAACTAAAATTCCTTTTTCTTTTTGGTACCAGGGATTGAACTCAGGTCCTTGCACTTGCAAGGCAGGCTGCAGAACCACTGAGCTCAATCCCAGGCCCTAAAATTCCTCTTACTCGTGTCTTTGGGTGTCATTACTTGCTTACTTAATAACACCAGGTACAACAAAAATAAAACCAGTCAAACTTCATTGGTTTTTCAAAGTTTTTTTTTTAATTTTATGAATTTTCAGACACATAAGAAGGATTTATCTTTCACTTTATTTAAGAAAAATAACACTATATTGCCCAGGCTGGTTTTTTGTTATTGTTTTATTTTGTTTTATACCGGGGATTAAACTCAGGACCTTGCACTTGCCAGGCAGGCAGCAGAACCACTGAGCTACATCCCTGGCCCACCCAGGCTGGTCTTGAACACTTCATTCTCATGCTTCAGTGTCCCAAATTATAGGCAGGTGCCACTATGCCCGACTAGAAGTTAGATTTTTTTTTTCAGCACTAGGGATTGAACCTAGGGTCTCCTGCATGCTAGGCCAAGGCTGACATATCTTCTTTAATAAACTGTAAATCAACTTATAATGAAACTGCTGAAATTCCTAAGGGCAGCAAAACTAAAATCTATTTAGAAAGGAAGAGAGTAAATGAAAATGAACTTTGGCAAATGAACCACCAGCAAAGGAAGGACCTGGACTTGTTAATTCATTTATCACCAAAGACCAAAGAAAAGTGAAGACTCTGGATAAAGTATCAATATATGCTGACTTACTTTGCCATAGATGATTGGAATGTAGAACAAAATAGTGACATGTGATAGAAGGGCAATTTGTAAGTTTTTCTCTCCATATAGAAAGAAATAATAGGAAGGCAAAAGTTGATCTTTTTATAACCTTATCTTGCTCAGAAGTAGATGTTCTGATTCCTTTTACTACTTTAGCTTGTTTCATACTGTGATATAAAGTCAGATGCTTTGAAACCTTGGAGCAAGTATAGACAAGATCATGAAGTAAATAGATATTTGGTAGTATATGTGCCATCACTAATAACATTTACCTATTTTTACTCTATACTTTCAAAGAATTCTTACATGAGATCATAACAACATTTCAATATTCTCTATGAACTTTAAATATAAAGCTAAACTGTGTAAAATCAAGGATTTCTGAGTAAAAATTGACTCTTGTGAAAGAGACTTGTCAATTTTTTTGACCAATTTTATTTATCTTGTAAGATTGGTACTTTAAATAAAGCCCCAAATTGCAGAATCATTAGTTGGCTTTTATTTTAAGTAAATAACTTTCATCTTTTTAAAACTAAGACCAAAAATTGAACTATTCCCAAAACTATGTCAACACCAACCAAAACCATCAGTAGGTAAGTCTTACTTTTTTTCTTGTTTTTTTCAATGTGATGAAGGAAATATACTACTTCTGTTTGAGACTTAAGCTGGCATGAATATAAGTATGGGCCTCGTGCTGTTTCTGGCTTATAAAACCTGTCCTCCATACTTTTAAGTCTCACCTCACATATATGCAGACGTAATTGCCCTTTCTGAAATAATAGTTTGTTTTAAGTGACTTTATTATAGCCTTTGCAGGAATTAAAATAATACTTTTTGGATGTAAGAAATGAAGAAAAAAAAGAAGCAAGAGGTAAACAAAAATGGAGGCACAGATAAATTTGTTGAATTACAGAACAGACAGATCTTGAACTATGAAGTCTTGAAAATACTACCTGCCTGTTTTCCAGTATGGATAATGGAAAGGTTTTTCTCAGTCTCAATGAGTCCTCCAATAACAATTAAATAAACTCTTAAAACTGGCCATATTTTGTTAGCACATAATCTTGGAAGATCTCTATGGAAGTAGAAACCATAAAATGAATATAGAGTTTTATATAGCTCATCAAAGTTTACTGATTTGTCAGCCTTAAAATTAAGCAATTTAGACCAGTCTAAAAATGTTTTGGTTAAGGCTCACCTCCATAGCCTTGGCCATCAACAAAAATAGAATGTGATCAGGACACTTTCTCTAAAGTTGGGATATTCTAATCAAAACATTGTCTATTTTGATCATGAAGGCTAGATTACTGATCTGAAAGAACTGTTACCTTTTTTGGGGGGCGGGATTGGAAGATTCTTTTCCTAATCCCTTCTATTTTCAGACCATACATGTTCTGACAGTGGAATAAAATATTTTTGAACAGTATGTTTTATCAAAATCCACCAAGGAAAATATCACTGAGTAAAAATACCTTGAGAATTAGCAGTCTTTGTCCCAAGCAACTCACACTCTGCACAGTGGCCCAATCCCTGGACTCAAGAGACCACTGTGTTTCAAAGTAGGTAAAGATGCATTCCTTTTCCCCAGGCCCTAGCCAATTGACTAAAATGTTTCCTTGCTTCTTCCAATCAGAATGACAAATCTTCATCAACCCAAAGCCCAGGCTGCACATAAACCTTCCCATGATGACATCCTAACAGGTTCGTGTCTGTTCACCTACTTACAGTGTAACTCACTCTAAGCCCAGGATCATAGAATGGAATGTTCAATCCCTAAGATAATTTCTAAGTTTTCTGAACAAATTTCCATTTTCCAGCCTCCCGTCACAAATGCTGACTTTTCACGTGTGTAGAGTGGCCCACATCCTTGCTTTCAGTCCAGCCCTGTCTGTCCTTCCCTCGAATCTCCCTTGCCCTCATCTACACCCTGTGTTTTACTGGGTTCTATTTCCCAAGCCATATGGCCCTGACTGAAAATTCACTTGCTGAAGGGTTTCCACAGAGATGGGGCACAAGCTGGACACAAGTTCTGTAGGCAGTCCTAATGGTATTAGTCAAAGTGGAAAGGAAATTCTATCACCATCTCCTAGGATGGCTTCACTTAGGCCTGCAAACTTTTATCTCTTGGATTCCCTGAAACAACTGCCTTCTTTCAGCAGCTGCCCAATGCTATTCTAGTGCTCAATTTAGTGTTGACAGGAGAATAGTGGTTCTTTCTCAGCCTTCAGCTTTGACCTAAGTCTCATCCTTTGGAGAAGCTAACAATGGGCCAGAAAAGGTGGGCCTGGGCCATTCTTTGGGCTGACTCAATACAAAGGCCAGCCAAGGCTATTTGTCTATCTTTTTATTTGCTCCCAAATTAACTGAAGCTGCATGAATCTTTTCTTTCATTAGATATATTCAGTAAAGAAAATCAAGATCATTTTATATAAATAAGAAAGTCTAAGCTTTATCCTGGATATTTGCAGAGGATCCGGAGAAATAATTGATGTGGGAAATCATCTAGAAGGAAACTTGAGAACAGAAAGGATGTATTAAAGGGATTTTAAAAGGGAGACCAGAGACTTAAGAAACAGCTGAGGTTTGGAGATATCCACTTTAGTGTAGTGAAAGGCAATCCCTGTGGGTTGCTTATGTATCCAGAAATGTTCACCTAGTTCATTTAGCCAAGGTGGAACCAAGACCTTGAAGCTAGGAGCCCCTACAGAACAAAAGATCCCCACTGCTTTTCTCTGGTCTGTTACCACCTTCTTTTCTCAAAGCCAAGAGAATACTGGGTAATAAGCATGTGCAGTTAGCTTGAGGGTTATCTGTGACAGTTGCACACTCATTTTGAATTTTCCTTGGAATTGGATATTTTTCAAACTTCCCGTGCAAAGAAATGAAACACAACACACACACACACACACACACACACACACACACACACACACACTCCTTTGTCTCTGCAAGAAAATTCATTTTCTGATCTTAATGTAGCAAGATGCCTGTCACCAAATTATTAGCCTTGGGTGTGTACTTCAATTAATAATGTCAGAGCTAGACTTGGAGTACATAGGATTAGCATGTTATGTTCTTCAACAGACTTGATTTTTGCCCAGAGAGTCTAATCTAGGACAGCAATCTTGGAGGTGAACTTATAGGGAGAGTGGTTGCAGTACTGTCTAGGAGCTGAACTGAGCGCTACTTTTGTGCATGATCTCTGTGATGGGAAAAGCACTAGCTTATTAGCAATGAGACCTGGATCCAAATTCTAGTCCAGCTATATGGGTTTGGTCTCCATGTTTCTACCTATAAAACCAGAATAGCAACGTATCTCTCTGAGAACCAGACAATCAATACAAACAACTTTTACCTTTGACCAAACCAGAAAACCTATGAGCCCTGTCTCAGCCCTTCTGGTTTATACAGCATAGACATGTCAGTACATACTACTGCATATTGCTGAAGCTGCCACCAACCTGTGCTGTGTTCCCTAAGAACAGGCTACAGATACTAAGCATCTGACTCATCCCAGTCGACATTACTGCCGATGATTACTTCATCTTGATGATTACAACAATGATTTTCTAACATTTTTATGGATTCAGCTAAACCTTGTATATTATCAATAATTCCTAATAGGAGCTAGTTAAATGCAAAATCTATCTCTATAACAGGGATTTCTTCTGGATTCATTTGTTCTTGCCTTGAGCCCAGAATTCAGTAACATCCACTGACTCTTAGCCTTGATATCAGTGGTACTGATGTTACTGCCTGATTTATAGCGACATTCAGGAAATTGGTGTGATGTGATACAAAGAGCACTAAACTAGGGTTTGGGAGATCTGGATTCTAGTCTTCAGTCCATTTGACTTACTTACCCGGGACCACTATTTCCTCTTCATTGCAGTAATGAGATGGAATTAGATCCTAGACTTTTTGATCCAATAATATCTCTAGTTCTCATTAGGCTTGATCAAGGAGCTTGTTTAAGAAAGTTCAGGGCTCTAATTCCCTTAAGTCATTCAGTGATTTCCAAAAGAAAGGTGTTATTTTATGCATTGAGTGACCCTCCTTCAAGCAATGTGTCTCCTGGAAAATCTGAAGGTTAAGTTTCTGTAAGTCAAATCATATTTGACGAAGAGGTCAGAATGGTAAGGATTTTAGAGTACCAAAATAAATCATTCACAATATGAAGAAGGCTCCTTTTGACATACAAAATAGTTTCTGTCCCTACTGTACTTTTTTTTTTGTAAGATCATGGTTGCTCATTTTTTTTTCCAAGAACAGAACTATATATATGTTCCTGAAAAGTCTCCTGAGGATTCTCTTTTCCCTTTGACTAGTATTACAACTTCACATATGTTTTATACACATTTTGAATTTAATTGGCAGCGACTCCTAAACCTTTATTTCTAAGTACTTCCTTTGGCCTCTTTGACAAGATTCATAAAAGCTTAAATATTGTTGAGAAAAAGAATGTTCTATTACAAGACACTCTTCTGTGAGTTTTGAATCTGTTTCAAATGCTTGAGGAAGTCTTTAGTGGCCCGTGGTTTCTTTGAGTTTCACTGAGAGCACAATCTAAGAAACATCTGTTCTCCCTTCTTCTCGCACTATTTTCCAGAGAATACTCACTACAGACTGCCTATTATGGGTCCCAGGACAGTGGTCTTCCATGGACTTCTGTCAGATGCCTACAAAACTCTTCAGGACACTCAAACCTCTTCCTTGCCTAGAAAGAAACCAAAGCGCAAGACAATAAAGCATTAAGGGGTTGGAGCTTCCCATCTCTTGACACTGGTGTCTCCTCATCATTTCCTCCTAGCTCCAAAAAGATCACTCAGTTTGCTTTCCTAAGAGTTTCTGGGTTTTTTTGTTTTGTTTTGTTTTTTTAGTTCTTGTCACTTTCTCACTCATTTCTCCTAAAGACGAAAGATAATTTACATGATTATAAGGATCTATTGGTTAAAATGAAACATGGTGAGTTATCTCTCATTTTATTTTCTTAAATATTTTTATCCATATTATAATAAATTTGACATCCCTCTGTTTCTGAGACATGCATTTCCTAAGAAAGCTGTTTCGTCACTTTCTTCAGATTGGAGGGCCAGAGATGGTTGAAGGAGACCCCTCAATAGGATGAACCCATTCTGTAAATAATAAAGGTTATGAAGAGAAACTTCCCTCCCGTCCTTATTTCTGTCAGTTATCTCTGATATATGACAAAGGATATTTTCCTATGATGCAATAACTGGGAAATGGCAAGTGCTTAGTTTTTGCAGTCCTTGATCACAGAGATTATGCTTTGCCTTGACCTCTTCTGTTCATCTCCTTTAGTGTCTTGCATGTCGCAGATATTCAGCTAATCTTCACTTAGTCAAATCTATATCAAATCCATGCCAACTATTTTATCATTTGGTTGCTTTGACTTGAGCACGTATGCCTCTAGATCTGTCCTGGTCATATTTCTGCATTGTGGGGAGAAAAAAGAGAAAACTCTAGGTTTGCAAATATTATATTTATGGACACATATGTTCACGCCCAGCTTCAAGAAGGGCCATATGAAAAGGCCCCATCTGCTCATTCAGGGAGAAGACTGAATGCTAGACTAACATGTAAGAATTACCTTCTGTACTGACTTATTTGAAGACTAGACTTCAGAAATCTCAAAAAAAAAAAAATGGCCCTATACTTAAAGAGATGTAAATTCTTGCACAGAAGCAAATAAACAAAGAAAATGAATGAGAACATTAGAAACTTGCTTCCTTGCCCTTTATCCTTGGTAGACTGTTTCTTAGTTTCAGTTTAGTAGGAATTCAAGAACTCTGAAAACTGCCTGTGAATTCTAGTATCATCTTAGATAGTTAGATACACACATCACTGATAACAATGTTCCTTTGTTTTGTTTTTGCAAATTAATAAACCCAGTGAAAGGATTTGGAGCATCTGTACTCAGGCATTAGAGGGAATACATCGTTCATTCACAATTGTTTAGAGCTTTGGAAGTAATGTGAATATTATGTGTCTAGCGAGAGAGAATATTTCCTAAATTTCATTAACATGACTTTAACTCGATACTAGGGTATTTCCAAAACCACATAGGAAAGAGTGATATCCTGCTATTTGCTAGTGTCATGACAGAATGTGCTGTGGTTTGTATCTTAAATGTTTCCTACTGGCCATAACCTGAAGGCTTGGTCACCAGCCTGTGGCATTATGGAGAGGTGATAGGATCTTTCAGAGGTAGAAGTGAGGGGGAGGTATTAGACCATGGGTGGTGCCCTTAAAGAGGATATTGGGATCACAGCTCCTCTTTTCTTTCTCTGTCTGTTTGCTTCCTGGCCACCATGAGGTAAGAAGCCTTATCTGCCAAGCCTTCTGGCTACCATGATGTACTGCCTTATGACAGGCCTCAAAGTGATTGAACAACCATGGACTGAAATCTTGAAAACCATGAGCCAAAATGAACTTTTCCTCCATATAAGTTGTCTCAGCATTTTGTGACAGTAATAAAAGCTAGCTACACACAGAGGATGGTCTATATCAGTGACGCTTAACTTTGTGGTTTTAGGAGCATTTTATACTCCTAAATATTGGAAGTCCTAAAGAACTTTTAAAAATAGGAGTTGGTTTTATCCATTATTATTTACCATATTGAAAATTAAAATGGAGAAATTTTTGAAATACATTAGCTGTCAAAGTAACATTATAGTGTAGCCTTTGGAAAATGCCACTACATCTTGGTGAGAAGAATAAGAAAGGCAAGACATCACACACACACACACACACACACACACACACACACACACATACAAAATAATTGTGACTTTCAGACATCCCAGAAGCGTTTCAGAGATCCTTGGGTTTTGTGGGCCCCATCTGAAGAATGTCTAGCCTGCATGGTATAACCATTGCTCCTTCAGCCTTCCAAGGAAAAGAGTGTATCAGGTTGCTTTCACTACCCTCAGGAGTAATTTTTAGAGAGAAGGCAACAGTAGGTTTTCAAAGTCACTTATGATATTGACTTTTAACATCATTTATTCCCTTTGCCACCTCACAACTTTATAATTCTTTTCTCAAATAAGGCCCCAGCAAAAGTAGAATGGGCTTAACCACTTGGCTTAAGAAGTCTACTTCCCATTGAACCCTCACTTCTGTACATGAATGGCTGTTAATTTATTTGCACTTTGATTAATATAAAATCGTTTCCCAGGATCTGGAGTTCAAATCTAGACCTGGTATAGCTAGTGATGCCCCATCTGTACTTTTGTTGAATAATTTTCCAGCAAGGAAGTTTCCTTTTTCCTTCTGTAAACAAATCCTGGAGAGTAATGGCACTGAGGTGGGATTTCCCAAATTAAGATATCTATCTCTGATATATGTCTCCACATGACTAAATATTGTTTCAGTTTAAACTTGCAGAGAGGTCTGCACATATGCTGCCTGACTTTTCTCCACCAGTAGTAAAGTTGAAAAGAAATCATTTCATCTGCACTAAACTTGGCTTCCATTTGTGCAGTAGGGTCACTGGTTCACTGAATCATCCCTCTGGGGCTAATCTTTCTGTAATGAGTTGTATCATGGGATAATGCTGAATTTGGCAGTTAAGATTTTACCTACTGCATGTTCTTAAATTTCATCCAAAAATCACTCCTAAATGGGGAAGGGAAGATTCTTCACTATGCCAATCTTCTCAGTGTTGGTTTTTTGCAGTTGGGGACTTCACCTTAAGATTCCTCTAGCTGTCTATTCTAGTGCACATGAAGTGGGTGTTCAAGGTCAGGGATGAGGCCAGATGTCCCACTTCATGGTCAATGCCTCCAGTGTCTGTTGATTTTTAACTAAACAAAGCAGATTGCTGTTAGAGACAGAAGTCATTTTACATCTTCCTAACATTTTGTAGATTTTTAGATTATTTCCAAAAGTTCGCTGTATCAAAACTTATTAAGAACAAGAACAATATCTCTCACTGCCACCCAGCCCTGGCAGGAGCTGCTTCACATATACTTGAGAGAGCCTTAGAATGAAAAACCCATGCCGAGGCTTGACAAGCAGTAAGAAACTATAGGAGCTGGATCCCTGAATTTGGGACTGTAAGGCTACAAAGAGTTTATTTAGGTATTAGGATTCTGCCTTTAAGGAAGTTGTTATTTCATTTGGAGGAAAACACGGAGGTGGGAGGGGACTAGGCATGAGTTACAAACTGAACGCTCAGAGATCACAGCAATAATGCCTTCCGTATCACCAACTGTCCAGCTCTCTGAACAAGAATAAAGGAGCAATTGTGTGGCCTTGTCAGGAAAGTTGGTCAGAAGGCAAATGGCCATATTTACCCACACCAGATGTTATCTCTTGTTCTTTGCAAAGTCTTTGGCAAGACACGTAGCAGCTTAGCCAATGGAGTGCAGAACAGTGAAATTAGGACCTGGCAGGTGTGTGCTGCTGCAAGGAAAATCATTCCTACATCTCTTAGGATCATTATCAACTCAGTCCCAGGTAGCAGTTATCAACCTTGGGGGATATCACATAGTAAGACAATAAAAAATTTAAAAAAGGTTGATTCTTAGATTCTCACCTTGAGAAAAAAATGCATATAGAGTAAGATGTGTAGAGACCCTATTTGACTCAGCTATCTTCCCAAAAGAATTAAAAGCATCATACCACAGCGATATATACACACCCACGTTTATAGCAGCACAGTTTGTAATAGCTACATCTTGGAAACAGCCCAATTGCCCATCAACTGGAGACTGGATAAAGAAGATGTGTTTTTTGTTTTAAATATAAAACAGAGTCTACTCAGCCACAAAGAATGATACACATAGCCGGGGATTTAGCTCAGTGGTTCTGGTGCCTGCCTCACAAGCACAAGGATCTGAGTTCAACCTCTGGTACCAGAAAAAAAAGAATGATACACAGAGACATTTATAGCTAAATGGATGCACATTGAGGCCATACTCTTAAGCAAAATAAATAGGACACAAATGTGTAAACACTGAATAGTTTCTCTGATGTGAGAAACTGAAAGTGTAAATGAGGTCCAAAGTATATAATTGATACTGTGTAATAAATGGAAGAAAAGATTCAAAGGGGAAGGGAAAGGGGAAATGGGGTAGGGTAGGGGAAAGTAAAGAAGGGAAAAGAAAAAAATGAGAAAAGGAAAAAATGGAAACAGAGTCTTTGTAAATAGAGAGGGGCAAAGGGGTTGAAGGGAGGGCAGGGGGATGGGGAAAAATGATAACCAAGATACATCATGTAAAGGTGCATACATCATATTATATGCTTAAAATGTACCAACAAACTAAATAAAAACTAAAGAGTAAGATGTGCATAAAACAATAAGAAAGACATATTGGTAACATTAATTGGCTCCAATGAATGGGACTGAGGGAAACACAGGAATTTGCCAAGTATATTCTTATTTGCTCTTTGAATTATGAACCACTTGAATGACTTGAAAAAGAAAGAAAGAACAAATAAAAGGAAAAAAAAGGAAAGAAAAACACCAAAACAAACCAAACACAAAACCTTTTTAATGTTGCCAGGGAGCTAATCTAGCTTTGGAACTTGAAATGCAATAAGCTATCAGCATAAATATTTGTCTTCCTGACATTATGGGATTTAGTCCTTGAATACTGCAAAGTTCAAGCAAGTGTCCAATTTAAAGAATAAATGTCATCTCTGCCCCTGGCAATTCTGTCACTGAAAGTCTGGTAACAAATGTTTGGTGCTTGTGTAGCACTTCACACTCTTCAAAAGACTTTCACTTGTTTTCTCCCTCTCCCTCTCAGTCTCCCGCTCCCTCCTCCTCCCCCATCCCCTTGACCTCTCCCTCTGTCTCAGATGTACCACGGTTCTGCTACTCTTAAACCAGAGCAACACTGTTTCACATGATGCTATCCCTTTGACAAATGCAGTCCTTCCCCAAAGCACTTGTACAAAAATTCATTTTGTTTCTCATTGAGTTTATTGGTACATTTTAGGGACACAATACAGTTACATTCATTACTGGGATATTGTACCTTTACACGACAGGTCTGGGTTCTCATTTTTTCCCCTTACCCCTG